AACCCATTCTGTGATTCTGTGATTCTAATGCCACGAGCACAAAGGCTTCTCAGCCTTGGAGCAGGGGTGTGGGAGACGACAGCGTGAGACCATCCGTGATCCAGGTTGTGATGATGAGTGTGAAGTTTTGTGTCTCTTCACCTGCAGGAGCGGATCAGTCAGGTCCTGAAGGATCTGGAAGAGGACCGTGTCCCGGTGGTGAAGCTGGGCGACGCCAGCATCGCAGCCCCTTTTACCTCCAAGCTCTCTTCCATTCAGTGCAGTAAGTGCGTGGTGGGAGCCGAATGTTCCGTGTGGATCCCACGTGTCCGGCTTCTCCGAGGGGAATAAGTCTTAGACTTGAAAGAAGCCAAGACACGGGGCGTGGGGTGGTGAGAAATGCCCCCAAACCCACGGCTTTGCCAGCTGTTTGCAGGGACCCCACCACCTCCCTGGGCAGCCTGTTCCAACACTTCACAACCCTCTCTGGAAAGAAATTTTTCCTGATATCCAACCTAAGTTTCCCCTGGTGCAACTCGAGGCCATTCCCTCTCGTCCTGTCATTCCTAACGTGGGAGAAGAGACTGACCCCCATCTCCCTACAACTTCCTTTCAGGGAATTGTAGAGAGTGAGAAGGTCCCCCCTGAGCCTCCTCTTCTCCAGACTGACCAGTCCCAGCTCCCTCAGCCAGGAGGGAGGGACAAGAAATTTGTCCCACAGGACAAGTTCTCCAAACCCTTCACTGGTTTTGTTCTCTGAATCTGCTCCAGCACCTCAACGTCCTCCTTGAAGCAAGGGGCCCCAAACTGGACACAGTCCTCCAGGTGTGGCCTCACCCGGGCTGAGTAATGGGGGGCAATGGCCACACTGTTCTGATCCATGCCAGGATTCCATTGGCTTTCTTGGCTGCTTGGGCACACTGCTGGCTCATGTTCAATCATCTGTCTACCAGCACCCCCAGGTCCTTCTCTGCTGTGCAGCTTTCCAGCCCCGCTTCCCCAAGCCTGGAACGCTGCAGGGGGTTGTCATGACCCAAGTCCTTCAGGAAGGGAGAGGACAGAGGGACAAAGCCCCCGAACCTGCTGTTGTTTCTTTCCCAAACGCCGCTTCCTCTTGCTCCGCAGTCTGCCACGTGATCAAGCAAGGTCGGTGCACGCTGGTGACGACGCTCCAGATGTTCAAGATCCTCGCCCTGAACGCCCTGATCCTGGCTTACAGCCAGAGCGTCCTCTACTTGGAAGGGGTCAAGTTCAGCGATTTTCAGGCCACTCTGCAGGGGCTGCTCTTGGCCGGCTGCTTCCTTTTCATCTCCCGCTCGAAGGTGAGGGGTGGGAAGCGTGTTGGGATACTGGGACAGCACCTGGTCCGTGTCAGTCATGTCAGGATTACCGCAGGAGCGCCTCTTTCCCAAAAAAAATAGCTGGTTATTTTAATAAATTAAGGATGCACAGTGCTGGAGCGGGTGGGGGTTTGGTTTCCCTGGATTTGGGAGGTTCCTGAGGACCTTGCTCCAGGGAGCATCCTGTGACTGAGGCAGGCAGCTCCGTTGGAGAAGAGGTGGGAAAGGTAGCGCAGGTAAAGGGTGGAATTCTGCACCCGGTGGAATTCTGCACCCGGTGGAATTCTGCACCAAGTGGAATTCTTTCCCGTGTTTCCTGAGAAACGGGAACGAACGTTAGGTGGATTCCGCCGGAAAAGAAGACGGTCCAAACCCATCGAGGTCAGCCCTGTTGCCTTCTTCTCTCCCAGCCTTTGAAGACGCTTTCCAAGGAGCGCCCGCTGCCCAACATCTTCAACCTCTACACGGTGCTGACGGTGCTGCTGCAATTCCTGGTGCATTTCCTCAGCCTGGTGTACCTGTACCGCGGCGCCCAGGCACGCAGCGATGCCAAGTAAGCGCCCGCTCCGCCGGCACCGGGATGTTTTCTCCAAGTGCTGCCAAGCAGGAGGGTGGAGAGGGGCCTCCATCACCACAGGGCTCTTTCTCCGCGTGCTCCATCGAGCACACGGAGCATGAGGAGTTTAAAAAATCCAGAAAAAGTGTTTTTGAGTTGGACACGGAGCGCGTCGGCAGGCAGCAAGGACGCGATGGGACCAGTGGGAATCTGGTCTGCGATGCGTCGCAGTTCCCATATCCGCCGTGGCCCCGCGGGAGGGGAAAAGGGAAATAGAAATAACACCAGTGAGGTGGATTACTGGGAAGCTCATAAAGAAAAACACACGGAAAACTTAAATTTTTTTTCCATCGGATTTTTATTTTGTGGAAAAGAACCCAGCGATCACCTGGTGCTCGCGGCTCCGCTCTTACCTTTTTCGGGAACAACGTGGTTTTTCCACCAAAACTGAATTAAAGGGGGGTCGGCGGGGCTGTGCGGGGGCAGCTGAGTGGGGTGGGTGATCCCGAGCCTGGTGGCCCTGATCTCCAGCTTTTTCCCTTTCAGGCAGGAGGAATTCGTGGATCTGTACAAGGAGTTCGAGCCCAGCCTCGTCAACAGCACCGTCTACATCATGTCCATGGCCATGCAGATGGCCACGTTTGCCATCAACTACAAGGCAAGCCCTGGTTAAGTCGCATCTCCAGCGGGACCAGGGACACAATTCCCTAATTAAAACGGGAACGGTGTGAAGGAACGTTCTTCTCTAATCACAAAATAGTTCGTCAGTGCTCTGCTGGGGGGGGAAAATTCCCTAATTTTTACACCAAGTTGACAAATTGTTCCGCATCCTCTCGTCCGAGCGAGGAGAGCCTCACCTTCCTCTCCCACTTTCTCCCTGCTGTGTTCCAGGGCCATCCCTTCATGGAGAGTCTCCAGGAGAACAAACCTTTACTATGGAGCATCATCCTGTCGGGACTTGCCATCGTGGGTCTCCTCACGGGCTCTTCTCCAGAATTCAACCAACAGTTTGGCTTAGTGGAAATCCCTACTGAGGTGAGCCGGCGGCGTTCCTCGGCGCCCTGCGGAATGGTTTCCCGGGGGAGAGCAGGGCTCGGGCTGTCCTTGGGAATTCGGGAGGAATCTTAAGGTTTTTAGCAGGATGTCAGTTCCAAGTTCTCCCCAGTTCAAGAAGGACAAGGAGCTGCTGGAGAGTGTCCAGCGCAGGGCCACGATGATGATGAAGGGAGTGGAGCATCTTCCTTCTGAGGAAAGGCTGAGGGAGCTGTACTGGGCTATACGGGGCTGTACTGGGCTATACCAGGCTGTGCTGGGTTATACGGGGCTGTACTGGTCTCTAGCTTGGAGAAAAGGAGACTGAGGGGGGACCTCATTAATGTTCATAAATATGCAAAGGGTGACGGCCATGAGGATGGAGCCAGGCTCTTCTCAGCGACATCCCATAATAGGACACGGGAAATGGATCTGAGCTGGGACACAGGAGGTTCCGCTTAAACATGAGGAACCAGTAACCTTCTTCCCAGTAAGGGGCATGGAGCACTGGGACAGGCTGCCCAGAGAGGTGGTGGAGTCTCCTTCTCCGGAGACGTTCCAAACCCGCCGGGACACGTTCTGGTGGGATCTGATCTGGGTGGTCCTGGGATTCTGGGATATAGCCCAGTACAGCCCACTGTAGCCCAGTACAGCCCACTATAGCCCCATATCTGATCTAGGTGGTCCTGCCTTGGCAAGGGGATTGGACTCAACAATCCTTTGAGGTCCCTTCCAATCCCTGACATTCTGGGATATGGCCCAGTACAGCCCAGTGTAGCCCGGTACAGCCTAGTACAGCCCCATATCTGATCTAGGTGGTCCTGCTCCAGCAGGGGGATTGGACTAGATGATCCTTTGAGGTCCCTTCCCATCCCTGACATTCTGGGATTCTGGGATGGTAACTGGCAGGAGCGCTACCTCCATAAATAGCTTGAAGTGGGAGGATGTGGATCAGTACGGGCCGGGGGACGCGTGTAGCCCGGTACAGCCTAGTACAGCCCCATATCTGATCTAGGTGGTCCTGCTCCAGCAGGGGGATTGGACTAGATGATCCTTTGAGGTCCCTTCCCATCCCTGACATTCTGGGATTCTGGGATGGTAACTGGCAGGAGCGCTACCTCCATAAATAGCTTGAAGTGGGAGGATGTGGATCAGTACGGGCCGGGGGACGCAGGGATGGAGAGCAGCCCTGAGGAGAAGGACTTGGGAGTCCTGGTGGATGGAAAACTGGACGTGAGCCGGCACCGTGCGCTCGGAGCCCGGAAAGCCAACAGTGCCCTGGGCTGCACCCAAACAGCGTGGGCAGCAGGGCGAGGGGGGGATTCTGCCCCTCTGAGACCCCCCTGCAGTGCCGCCTTCAGCTCCGGGGGCCCCAGCAGCAGGAGGACACGGAGCTGCTGGAGCGGGGCCAGAGGAGGCCACGGAGATGATGGGAGGGCTGGAGCACCTCTGTATGGAGACAGGCTGGGAGAGTTGGGAATGTTGAGCCTGGAGACGACAAGGCTCCGGGGAGACCTTCAATACCGCTAAGAAAGACGGGGACGGACTCGTTAATTTTAGTAACGAGGGGGAACGGGTTTAAACTAAAAGAGGGAGATTCAGCCCAGATCTGAGGAGGAAATTCCCAACGCTGAGGCCGGTGAGACGCTGGCCCAGGTTGCCCGGAGAGGTGGCCGCCCCGTCCCTGAGAACATCCAAGGTCAGGTTCAACGGGGCTCTGAGCGACCCGATCGCGGCAGAGACCCCAGGGGGGTTGGCCTGGATGAGCTTTAAAGGTCCCTTCCCACCCAAACCATCCTGGCATTCCCTGATTTTTTTTTTTTTTTTCCAGCACGCTGTGAATTATTTTTTTTTTTACCATTTAGCCGTTTTTACAGCGTGCTGCGCCGGGAGGAAGTTCAAGCTGTAGTTCAGCCGCGACGGTGCCGAGGGACCGGAGAGAGAGGGAGGAGAGGGACTAAGAGGTGGTGTTTGTTTCCCAAGTTCAAGGTCGTGATCACGGAAGTGTTGCTGGCTGACTTCTTCCTCGCCTTGGTAGCCGACCGAATCCTCCAGTTTCTGCTGGGGAGCGCCAAGCTGAAAGTGCCTTCCTGATGAGACGGGTCCCTGCGCCAAGGATGCCCGTCGGGGCCGACTCCGCCGCCACGGGAATCATCCCGTAATTCTTCTGACAATAATTCCCGTCCCGTTCTGAAACGGGCGTGGGGAAAACTTGCTTCCAAATCGTCTGGAAACCACCTCTGCGGGAAGCAGACCTGACTTTTTAACGTTTCCAGGACGTAGCACCAAACCCGGCGGGAGTTTCGGACCGCCCTGACGCTTACGGAAACGTTTCCCGAATTTGGTAACTAAAAGCGGAATCGCTGTATTTTGAAAGGTGTTTGGAGCTTCCTTTTTGGGGCCAAAAAGCTTTGGGATGGGTTCTTTTAGCAGGAAGAAGCGGCGACAGGAGAAAGGTGAGGCCACGGGGTGGTTCTGACACGGGAGAAACGCTCCCAACTCCAGTGCAGGAGGTAAAACATCCCGAATAACCAGCTGGAGCGTTGGCAAAGCGTCGGAGAACAAACGCTGCCGAGAGCTCCTCTCCCACGTGCCAACCCCGACGCTGCCCGGAGTCTTTCGGAGCCGTTACAAAAATATTTTGGCAGGTGAGAAGAGAAAGATGGTTTATTTGTCTTCCTAAGGAATTCCTGTGGTCGGGTATCCGATTCCATTTATTCAGGAACTCCTGATAATCAGAGAAAGAGGGAAGAGCTGATCCCAGCTGGGTGTTTGGCCTCAGTTTCCCTCCTCGAGGTAGACTCCGGTGCTAACAGACGCCGGGCGGGAGCCTGGCAGCGGCCGTCCTTTCGACTACAAAAGCGTAATTGTACTGAAAAGAAAGAAAAAAGCAAAAAAAAAAATGATCAGCTGGGGCAAGACACAGGATTTGAGAAGTTTTCCCACCCCAAAAGAGGGTTTTTACCTCTTTCTCGATATCGGCCAGCGACTTAACGTTGAGGTCTGCGAGGACGGGCTAAAAAATGAAAAAAAAACAGACAAAATATTTTTAATTAAGACTAATTATGAGGTAGGAGTGAGAAGAGCAGCGGAGAGGGAGACTCACGTTGGGGCCAGAGCTGAGCTTCCCTTCGAATCTGGGGTGTAGTGTGAACGGGACGCCGTCCATGGCTGGGGAGAGAATCATGGAATCATGGAATCATCTGGTTGGAAGAGCCCCTCAAGATCATGGAGTCCAACCGTTCCCCCCGCGCTGTCAGGGGCCCTAAACCATGTTCCTCAACACCAAATCCCCACGGTTTTTAAACACCTCCAGGGATGGGGACTCCACCACCTGCTTTAGGAACATCCACGGAGCTGCTCCGAGAACACCCTGTTCCTGAATTCCCACCAAAGCAGCCGAGCGAAGGCACCATCTTAGTGCCAGAGTTGGTGGAGAGGTCAGGGATGGTTTAATTCAGGGAAGGAATAACCTTCAGGAAGGGAGAAGTCTTCAAGAAAACCTTCCGCTAACCATTTGATTCCAGTTTTTGATGGGAACAACTGGGTATGAACCAACTCTCGGCCCCCATTTAGATTTTAAACCCTCCACTAACCAGTTAATTCCAGTTTTTAAAGGGAGTAACTGGGGTATGAACCAACTCTCGGCCCCCATTTAGATTTTAAAGCCCCCAATAACCATTTAATTCCAGTTTTTAAAGGGAACAACTGGGTATGAACCAACTCTCAGCCCCTATTTTGAGTTTAAAGCCCCCACTAACCATTTAATTCCAGTTTTTAAAGGGAACAACTGGGTATGAACTAACTCTCAGCCCCTATTTTGATTTTAAAGCCCTTGCTAACCATTTAATTCCAGTTTTTAAAGGGAACAACTGGGTATGAACTAACTCTCAGCCCCTATTTTGATTTTAAAGCCCTTGCTAACCATTTAATTCCAGTTTTTAAAGGGAATAACTGGGGTATGAACCAACTCTCGGCTCCCATTTTGATTTTAAACCCTCTGCTAACCAGTTAATTCCAGTTTTTAAAGGGAACAACTGGGTATGAACCAACTCTCGGCCCCTATTTTGATTTTAAAGCCCCCAATAACCATTTAATTCCAGTTTTTAAAGGGAACAACTGGGTATGAACCAACTCTCAGCCCCTATTTTGAGTTTAAAGCCCCCACTAACCATTTAATTCCAGTTTTTAAAGGGAATAACTGGGGTATGAACCAACTCTCGGCTCCCATTTTGATTTTAAACCCTCCCCTAACCAGTTAATTCCAGTTTTTAAAGGGAACAACTGGGTATGAACTAACTCTCAGCCCCTATTTTGATTTTAAAGCCCTTGCTAACCATTTAATTCCAGTTTTTAAAGGGAATAACTGGGGTATGAACCAACTCTCGGCTCCCATTTTGATTTTAAACCCTCCCCTAACCAATTCCAGTTTTTAAAGGGAACAACTGGGTATGAACCAACTCTCAGCCCCTATTTTGAGTTTAAAGCCCCTGTTCAACGGGGCGGCGCTTCCTTCCCGCGGTTCCTCGTTCGATTCCGGGTGGATTTACCGGAGAGGCCGTAGATGTTGGAGGCATCGTAGAGGGATTCGTGCTGCGAAGCGCGTTTGATGCTGCATCGAGCCACGGGGGGGGACCTGGAACAGCTCGGAATTAATTAAACATCCTTTACCCGGAGATTAAATCATTAACAGGTAACGAGCCCC